GGCCCAGCATCCACGAACATCCATTGATGACAGGAATAAAAGAACCAGTGACCTCTGACTTCTCCCTCCACACAACCCCCCACCAAGCAAAAAGTGAAAGCACCTGCATGGGGTTCTTATAAGAACCAGTCAATGAAAATCATAGGTTTCTCACACTCTGCTAACCCTTTGTGGTCACACACCATCGGTAGAGTCGTTGGCTGACAAGAATGTTCAGGAAGAACGTGCTCTGGTGTGTCAGGGAGTTTGGCCACTCTTGTTCCTGGGAGAGCTCACGAAACCCAAACCTCAGACCCAGAGGCGTCCCCACTACCAAACTGCAGCCCCATCAGCAATGAGGCCGGGGTTTTTACAAACCACATCAATGTCCCACGGAGAATTTAAACCAAGAGGACATCCAGGACCAGCTCCAGTCAGGGCAGATGGAATTTTAGGGCAGGCAGAGTCGTAAACTGTGAGGACCCGGGATCTCACTAGAATAGGTCTATTCTAAAGGGTCATCTTCTTGCCTTTTGGGATATGACAACATGCAAGTCCTGCTTTCTAAGGCAATTCTGATCTATGGTCTTCATGCTGACTGACCATATGCCCTGACTGGTTTGGGGAAAATGTGCTGCTTTATTGAGGTGTGACACTCCTGACGAATTTGTTAAGAGGTCTCCACATCCTTCCCTTGATCTAATAACAACGTGTTTTAGAACTTGCCCATTGTTACCAAGATTCTTCCTCATGGCTACTCCAAAGTCTACCTGCTAAAATTTAAACTGGAACTCACTTTTGATGACCGAAAGACCAGGTGTTTGTAATGACTGCATTATAAAACCTAGTTACATAAAACCTCTATCTTCCCAGTCACCCTTTGCATCCACCCACGTTTAAATGAACTCATGCTTCCCAGGCACATACGAACCCCACCATTAGAAAGAAGGCCAGGGTTGGCCAGGGTGACCCGGGGACACTGATTTCAGCTTTGATTCTGGATTTGGACAATCCATCAAAGTTTATTACCGTTTGGCTTGAGTAGAATGGAGAACTGAGAGAGTCATTTCCTCTCGTTCTTTTCTCTGTGGAAAGGACAAACAGCAGGGCCCTTGTGAGAACTCAGCCTCACCCAAACTTCAAGTCCAGCACGTTCTTGGAGGAGCCAGTCCTGGACCTCTCTATTTCGAAGTGAGGTCACCGCATCCAAACTGCTAGAAGAATCTTTACACAATACCGTCCGTGTGGTGAGTCACCACACTGCCCTGCGCTCTCATACCTGGTCCATCCTTTATCACTTTATTATCGCTAACATTTCACAAAGATAGGAGTAATAACGGCTAACATTTATTACGCATTGGACCCTGTACTCATGGCGTGTTTAGCATTATCTAGTCCTCCCAACCACCGTGAGGTTGGTGCTATTATTATCCCCATTTTATAGAAGGAAAAACAGAGACCGAGAAAAACAAAGTAACTTACTTGCCCAAGGTCACACAGCTAGTCTAGTCTTGATTCCCAGTCTCTCTGACTCCGGACACGACTCTCCCAACAAGTTAAAAAATTCTACTGGACCTGGCACAGATCTTCTGGCACAAAGACCTATCACAACTGACTGCCAAAGTGGGCTTGAGAATCACTGGTCCTCTCTCCTTCCACATTCTCTTACCTACATTCCTATTGCCCTTCTGCCCCCGCCCCCTCATACACACACCCTCCGTACCAGGCATGCTTCAACCCTGTCGGGTTTATGGACCTGCTTCCAAAAGAGAAAAGAAAAAGGAAAATCAAAACCCAAATGTCTCCACGAAGGTGAACCAGAGAGGGGCAGGTCTATTCTGGCGTTTTCATTGCTGAGATGAGGGACAGTTGTGTTCATTCCCATGCAGGCACCTGCAGATGTGGGCATGTGTGCAGGCTGGCTCACCTGACTCCACTTGGGACCAGGTCACACTATGCCTGGCATGCCTTGCACGTTCTCAGACTCTGAGTGTCTGTGATGTGAAAACCCATCTCCATTCTAACCACTCTCCTGGAGAAGGCCAGAGGAGAGAAGGTCCAGAACATCGGTAGCTGCAACTCTGGTTTTTGACAGCTTTGACATCTCCTGGACTTGAGCCACATCCGGGCAATCAGTGTCAAGCCCCACATGTATCTCTCACCAGCCTGAAAATTGCTCAAAACATAGGAAGAAACAGCCAGCCGCCGCCCCCCCCCCCACCCCTTAGACCCAACACTGGAAGGGAGTGTTGGGGGGGATGTCATGCTTCTCAGAGGGGTGTTAAGAATCTCAGCCCATGATGGAAGATGGGGTCCCAAAGGCCTCATGAAAGGAAAGCAGAAGGCCAAGAACATCTGCTTAACCTTTCTTCCAGTCCGAAACCCCTGACTCTACAATATGTTGCAAAGAACACAGGTATTGCTCTGGACTGAACTGTGTCCCTGTCAAACTCCTATGCTGAAGCCCTCCCCTCCCCGGGTGCTGGTTATTTGGAGATGGAGCCTTCGGGAGGTCATTAGGTTTCGATGAGGTCATGAGGGTGGGGCCCTCGAGATGGGATTAGTGTGACCTTAGAAGAAACCGGAGAGCCTGCTGAACACAAAGGAGAGGCCCTGTGAGGACACAGCGAGCGGGCAGCCAGGAACCGGGCTCTCACCAGGAACCGAATGTGCTGGCCCCTTGACCTCAGAATTCCCAGCTTCCAGAATGGTGAGAAGTAAATATTTACGGTAGAAGCCCCCCCAGCCTGTGGCATTGGTTATGGCAGCCTGAGCAAACGAACACAGGTGTCTGAGACAGGGGTTCAAATCCTGACTCCACCCTTTCTAGAGCTGGGTGACCTTGGACGAGAGTTTATTTTTCTTATCCACAAGTTTATGGATAAACCACGAAACAGTGGTCGCCTCACGGGGCTGTGAGGAGGGTCGGGCGGGCTGAGAGGTGCTCCGAGCTTTTCCAGACTAGCTCCCTTCCCCCACTCATGCGGCCTTAGTGCTAGGTCAGCCCCCCACCCCCACCAGCAACGCCTTCACGCACGCTGGGGCTCCTCTTGTCAATGGATGGCCTCCCGGTCCCATTCAGCCCACAAATGTGTTTTATTTGACCTGTACTAATGTTTGGGGGAAATTCAGATTATTTATCAACGTTTAAAAGCCAGGAAATTTCACATAAAAGTCTTAATTTCCGGTTGAGAAAGAAGTTGACATGTCACTGGCTCCGCGTCCTGCCAGGGCGATCCGCAATCCCCTTTCAACAGAGGGTGAACTCTCACCTCCCTGCATCCAGGCCAGCCTCCCGCCTTCAGAAGACGTGCTGGAAACCTGAAGGCTTCTGAGTTAGCAACCCCCTGGGGATAAAAGGGCTGGTGGAATCTGCCGGGCCCAGTACTTTTCCTAGCTGCCCACAAAGATTTTAAGTACAATTTCAGGATCAGTCTCCCAAAGTGAGGAACAATGAGCACGTTCCTGAGTCACTGTTTTATTTATTTATACTTCCACTGTGAGCTAAAGAACCCTCCCGAAGAGGCCAGGATCTTAGTTCTTGGAGTAAAATAGAATTCTTGCAACCCAGGGGTTGGCTGACCCAGCTCTGTCCCTGTCACTTGACTTCATGGGGTCTCAGCTGCCTTCTCTGTAAAAGGAGGCCTTGGGCTAGACAAGCTCTATTGTCTCTTCCCATACTTGTGTAATTACTATGTGAAATTCAAGCTCCTGGGTAGAAATTCAACACACCTCAGTTTACTTCTGAGCCCTAACGGTTTTAATGAAAGCAGAGCTCTTAAAACACCTCACTGATCCTTAACACAGGTCTTCACTAAATGTAAACAGGACCCAAATAAGGGCTTTGTTTATTGTTCTGCCCATTCCAGGGTTGGGTCTTTAGCCTTGATGTTCTGCACTTAACACACCAGACAGGAAAGAACATCAGGGCATTAAAAGGCCTGATGCACAACCTCCCGTCCCCAGGAGATCCTGGCGCTCTGGGCTGTGCCTGCCTCTCTGTCCAAAACACAAATCCGACCATACCACCCATCCCCCAACTTCTGGTATTCTCTGCTCATGGGTCTTTTCTTGGATTCTTGCTCAATGCCACCACAGGACCTTTGCACCTGCAGTTTCACCTGGTGAATTCCCACTGGTCCTCCAGAAGAGAGCACGAGTAGGACATCACTCGTGGCCTCAGCAAGATCAAGTCATACAGACGTGCTTTCCTCACAGCAGCTGTCGAAGCCACACTTCTACGTTTTACAGGTATGGTTAGTTGACCAATGAGGATCTCCCTGACTTAATATAAATCCCAGGACAGCAGGGTCCACCTCGGTCTTTGCTCAGTGTTGTCTCTCCGGTGCCTGGCCAGTAAGGCGGCACTCAAATATTTGTTGAAGGAGTGAATAAACCTATGAAAAGCTGACACAACTGGGAAGATTCTGGACGACAAGAAACCCTTCAAGGACCACATCTTATTGTGGGTTGTATCACCCAAACCATAATGACAGCGACAACACGCACAGTCATAAGAGCCCCCAGTACCGAGTGAGCTCTGACCCTGTCCTAACAGTTCATTTATACAATAACCCAACTTAAATCTTCACAAGAATCCTGTGGAAGTAGGCATATTTCCCATCCGTGTTTCATGTAAGAGGACAAGGGCAGCAGAATCCCAAGCACACGAGGCCATCTTGCCGAATGTGGCACCTAATGGTTAAGCAGGGCACAATCCATATTTACAGAGTATGTGACATCTGCCCTATGTCAACCCACCCCCTGCAGAGGCCCCCCTACAGACACTATACACAGGAATAAATGTATGAACCCTTTGTGGACCGGAAGTCTAGATAGATAAGGGTCTCAGAACTTAGTAGCCATATGAGCCAGTAAACAGAAACAACAAGTTGTTTCGACAGAAACAACAAGAACCAAGCAGACAAAAACTTTAAGCTAAGGCTTCCAATGGGGTGGCCCCCACTGCCCCAGCTCAGACCCACGGTGGGAAATGGTCCCTAACCGAGCCATCTACATACCTGATGTTTTCGTTCAGTGCATAGAGCTCATTGCTTTGCAAGCCGCCCCCTTTGAAGACATTGATCACGGCAGTCTGGACACTACAGGAGAAACAGAAACGGGCCCTCGTTAGAGGATCTGCCTGCCAAGGGAAACCTCAATAAGCAGCTCAGGGCTAAAGGCAGATGTAAGGGCCAGAGAGCCCATGGCACAAACATGGCCCATTTTCCATCCCTGGAAATGCATCATTTCCTTTCCAGGGTCCTCAGAGAGAAAAGAAGACTGAGGCCAAGAGGATCCCAAAGCAGCCCCTCTCCCCCAACTTTCTCAAAGGCGAGCTGGTGTTCCTCACTGGCCTCGCTGGCAGCCCTAATGGCAAGCAGCATTCATGAAGGGCAGGTGGTGGGATCTGCTCTCAGGACACTGGGCCTGGAGGGATCCAAAATGGCGCCTGCAGCAAGCAGATGCCAACGGTGCCCAGGGTTCCTTCACTTAGGAGGTCCCTGTCCTCACAGGACAGCCTGCATGCCTGGGGCTGATAGGAAATGTTAATTCCTTGCCTTTTTGGTAGGGTTACCTTGGAAGAGTTTCATTGAGGCTAGCCTCTCTTGCCCCTTCCGTTCCCCTCCTGTGAGGTGCAGAGGCAGTAGGGGGCTAGTCCCTGGAGGGGCCACAGTTAAATCTTGACACCACGTGCTCTGGGGCACCAGCCCAATATTTCAGCAAGGAGCAGATTATAATCTCATCTTTATCAAGGATCCTAGGTCTTTTTTTTAAAAGAACACAGATCCATTCACAGCAAAACATGTCAGAGCCCCTCTTCACCCCCATCATAATAAGAGTTGTGCAAAAATGAGACAATCCAAGATGATTCAAAGTACAAAGAATCCAGTAATGCTTTAAAATAATGATGCATTTAATTCATCCAAAGAGTAACTGCTAGATATGAAAAAGAGCAGCCCACAGGGATTCAAAACATAGTGTTGATTCAGTCTCTACTCAATGCTTGGCCTACAAAACGTTGGCCAGACACCACATAAAAGCGCAGTGTCCCCTTTCCCATCCACCTGTGGCTCACAGGTACCGAGAGTCCCCAGTTTATACCACTCATTTGGCTTTCCACAGATATGTGTCTTATCTTCCCAGACAAGTAATAGGTGACTTGAGGTTACTTACACGGCCCCACCCCTTGGTACTCGAATAGTCTGGGGTGTGACTAAGGAACATGAATAGTAACTGTAAATTCCAATCCGGTTAACTGACTCTGGTAGCCCAGAGGCCCCCAGGGACCCCCCTCCTCTCTCCTCAAACAAGGGAAGCCAGGGAATACATTGTCCACAGGGAAACATGCTGTCTTCATCAACGGCCTAGATGTATAATCACGACCTTCTGGAACAGAGCTCTCCGAAGGAGCAGAAGCTAAGCCTGTCCCCAAGCCCTGCTCTGGCCCTTGGCAGCCCTCCACTCCACGACTATCGCCACCCCCACTCCCCCCCACTTCCGTTACCTGTTCCAGGCCGAGTTGGAGCTCAGCTGCAGAGCCTGCCGGGCTGCTTGGAATCGGGGCAGATCGCTGAGCACTGGGGAGCTCATGAAGCGTGGCCTGGGCCTGCGGAAGGAGCCCATCTTGTGGAACTCAGTGGGTAGAATGGGAGCGAAGCCACGGGTCATAAGTCCAAGTGAGGGGACGCCTTCTCCTCTGAACCAGAAGGTTCCAAGTGCCCCTGGGAAGGGCTTCTCCCAGAGCTGCCCTCCGGCCGTCAGGCTTTCTTAAAACCACAAATTTAGCCAACATCTGAAAAGAGAGGGCAGTGTTTATTGAAAACTCCCAGGTTGAGCAGATCATTTCTTAGAGGAGGTTGGCTGGGATTTTCCAGCCACACTTTTTTAAAGAAGACTCCAGGACCCTGCAATAACATCCATACCCCACCGGCTCCCATTCCCACTTTTGACTGTAATACTGTGCTTACTTACCCCAAGGTGGGAAGGCAGCGACAACGGGCATAGGTTAAGGCAATCTTACAGAAAGGTGATTTCTCAGCTGTGCCTCACTGTGGTTCCTATAAATACCAGTCAAAGTTTGGGCACTGGCTGGGTTTCTGTAGACCCTGCATCGTTGTGCATTAAGAGATGGCTTTTTACAAAATGCCTCAAAAAGAACACAGGAGCTCCTTCTCCTGGCACTAAAGACCTTCCATGATCTGCATTTAGCATGCCAGCCCATGTGTATTGCTCAGTATTTCCCAAAGCATCAATGCCTCTTCACTCAGGCACATCTCCCCATCCCTTACCTGCTGTTCATTCATTCCTTCCATCAGAACATATTTGCTGAGTGTTCATTATTTATTAACCACTGGGAGCTGTGGAGCATCAGAAGATTTCTAAAACATAATCCCTGCCCTCAAAAGGCTCAAGGTCTACTGAGAAGAGAACTTTGTGTGTATTCGTACGCACAACAAATATTTTTTTCCTGATTTTATTTTTTGGGGTTTTTTTTTATAAATTTTAATTCCAGTATGGTTAGCATACAGTATTAGTTTCAGCTGTACAATATAGTGATTCAACACTTCCACACATCACCCAGGGCTCTTCATGACAAGTGCACCCCCTAATCCCCGTATCTGTTTCCCCCATCCCTCCCCTCCTCCCCTCTGGTCACCATCAGTTTGTTCTCTATAGTTAAGAGTCCGTTTCTTCGTTTGCCTCCCTCTCTTTTATTTTTCCTTTGCTCATTTGTTCTGTTTCTTAAATTCCACATATGAGTGAAATCATGTTATTTGTCTTTCTCTGATTGACTTATTTCACTTAGCATAATACACTCTAGTTCCATCCATGTCGTTGCAAATGGCAAGATTTCATTCTTTTTGATGGCTGAGTAATATTCCCTTGTCTTTAGATACCACATCTTCTTTATCCATTCATCAGTCGATGGGACACTTGGGCTGCTTCCGTAATTTGGCTCTTGTAGATAATGCTGCTATAAACATAAGAGTGCATGTATCCCTCTGAATTAGCGTTTTTGTATTTTTGGAGTAAATATCCAGTAGTGCGACTGCTGGATCATAGGGTGGTTCTATTTTCAAGAAATATTTATTGACTGCACACTACGCACCCATCACTCACCCAGGTACTCACTGGGATACAGTGGTGGTTCTGGACAACATGGTCACTGCCCTGTGGAGTTTACAACCGGTAGGCGTGGTTCCACGCCATGCTTCGTCCCTCTCCCTAGCTTCTGACCACTTTTACTGCTTTCCTTGCCCAGAATTCCCTTCCTTTTCCTCTCTGCTTATCTAAATCTAACTTACCCTGCAGGGCTGGGTTCAAGGATACTGTCCCCTGAGCAGTTCCCAGGACTTTATGGCTTTGCAGTTAAGAGCAATGGCTCTGGAGTGAACCCGGGTTCAAGGCTTAACCAGGCCCCTCCCCAGCTGCATGATCTGGGGCACATGGAGTCCAAGAGTCCAAGGTTATTAGCAGTGCCACCCGCACAGGACTGAAGAGAGGAGACACGAGATCATGTGATGTGCCCAGCAGAACGGCACACCCGAAGCTCGCTTTCCGCAGCACCTCTGCTCCTGTCATTTCAGTCTCGGACTCTCTCTTTTATTTTTTTAAGATTTATTTATTTATTTGAGGGAGAGAGAGAGCAAGAGCACAAGCAGGGGAAGCAGGAGAGGGAAACGACACGGCTCCTATGGGCAAAGGACTGGGGCTTGGAGACGGGCATCCAGGCAATCCATCGAGAGGGCTTGAGACGTGCCAGACATTGTATGCAGACCGCGGGCACACTGACAATGAACTTGCAAAAAAGAAATGACTGGTACTATGTCTTACATTTTTAAAGGAAAGCCGACTTGTGTACCATTCCCCTGTAGTCTTCTTGCCCTCCACTTGCTTCTCAGGATGAACCCACGGTGACTAAAATTTATCAATACGTACCACAGAAATCAAAATAGGCCTGCTCCGCTTCCAAGTCTCAACGACTACACAAGTGCCCCTGGAATTTGGCAAGATCTTTGCGAATCATCCGACGAGGCAAAGAAGAAATAAAACCACGGAGCCCCTTCTGAATCCTTCCACGGGCTGGCTTTGGGATTTCACTTGCCCGGTAAAGGTCACACTATTAAAAGAGGATCCATTTCGCTGCCCTTCTTTAAATGGGCCTGCTAAGGGCAATACGTCTGTGCAATTACAGGATATTACCTCCTTTTTCGAGGACCTGAGACTTGAGGTGACGGAGCTGCCTCCCACTCAGGGGCACTTGAACAGGGAAGCAGAAAGGTGAGCTGAATGGGTCGTCCAGGTGTTTACTTCCCGGCTTCCTGCTGAAACCGCCACTTCCCCAGGAGGCTGTGCGACACAGAGGACCACGGGGCTGGCTCCTGTCTCCCTCCGCGGCTCAGTCAGCAGCCCCAGGCCTCGCACTCCAGGCCGTGTGTGTATCCAGCAAGGCCCACAGGCGGGCAGCCCCATCCACCCGCGGCCCCTTTTCAACAAGGGTAAATTTCAGCCCGAAGAACGATGAGCACAGCCCCCACAACCTTGCCACTGGCTGCCCGGTGACACATGACAAGCAGCTGCCTCCAAATCCATTCTCACCCACAAGACCTGCCACCCTCAGACCCCGACTGGCCGAAGACCATCGGAAGTGGCCTTTGTTTCCATCATTCCTGCTTCCGGAGGGAGTCAGGAGGCCTCCCCAGAGCACTGCGGAGAGGGGGCCCTGGCAGCGCGGACAGGAGCAGCCTGAAGGGAAAAGCGGGCGCCCCCCGTATCCACCTGCTTGCACCGCGCTGGCCCCTCGGGCACAAGCTGGTCCTGACCTAACCATGACAAATGAGAAAACGACAAGACCGATGCGGCCCCCGTGTACAGATGAGCAAAGTGAAGTCCAGAGGAGCACAGCAGCTTGTCCAGTGTCTCTGAGGTGGGAGAGCCGGCACTGGCTAGAACTCAGGTTCCCCGACTCCCGATCTAGAAAGTTCCTCAGGCCCCACCTAGGCCATTCTATAACCTCCTTAGAGAGTCATGGGCACTTCTCGTCTCCGTCTCCGTCTCCTCAAGCCTAAACTCACTGCCCAAGACACAGATGAAGGAAGGACGGGAATTCATGAGGTGCCGACGGCCTGCCTGTCACAGCAGGTGAACTTACAACTCTCACAAAACCCCACTTCAAGACCAAAGTAATCTGCTGGAAGTCACAAAGTGAGGTGGCAGACTGTTGACTGGTGTCCAGACTGACTCTATAGCCTATCCCCACTTTGTCATGCTACCAAACTCAGCCAGGAACCAGAAGCTACCAAGTCAAGTCAAGAACACCCACTCCTGAGATTACATATCCAAGTTTAAATCTCATGCCCCTGAGACAGATAAATGGACATAAGGAACTCTACGACCACATTTTACAAGGGCAAGAGGAGCCATGAGGAGAAGGGAAGAAAGGAGAAAGTGTGGGCTGCCTTAGTTAGACACCCCATTCCTCACCAGCTGTGTGACCTTGTGTAAGTTACTTGACTTCTCTGAGCCTTGACATCCTTCTGCGTGAAATGAGCATGCTAATGGTGACTACCTCAGCCCTGTAGGGGGATAAAATGAGTACATATTTGTAAAGCACTTAGAGAGGACAGCCCATGGCAAACAGCAAACAGCTAGGTAAGTGCTTGTTAAACAAATAAGATAACTTGTCATTTCTAAATCTCCAAGTAATGACAGCAGTGGAAACAAAGCAACACTTCCCCGTTTCTGGCAAGCTTACTGACATCTGGAAAACTCTCCTCTCGGAAGAACGCAAGGTCTCCAAGCTGCCATGGTGGTCACAGATTGCTGAGGCCTTGCCCCCTCACGCCTTGGGCAACACACTTATTTACTGACCCTTCACCTGTGTGTGGCCGTCCCTGAGTTTAAGAGTGTTTCCACACATCACCACACTCGTAAATCTTACCCTAACCTTGCAAGGCAGGTCGAGTAGGGATCCTGTCAGGTCAGGAAACTGAGGCTACGTGATTTGGCCACGGCTGGGAGGCGGTTAGGGCAGGGAACCTAGATCTGGCCCCGACCTCAAGCCTGCACTGCCAGGAAATTCTTCCCCTATATATGTTAAAATATTTTCATTATGCAATGTATGTAGAAAAGAGTTTATACACACACACACAAATATATGTATCGTAAACAATGATAAACTTCCACCTGCTTAAGAAAGAGGACGTTAGCTTGGAAATCCCCTGTGTTCCTATTTTTCTGATAATAGCACACCTACTTCTTTATCATAAAAAAAGGTAAACATGCACATAAATCTACAACATACAAAGTGAAAAAGGCTGCACTCTGGACACTTAGTGTTGAGAAGCTTTCTGCCCAGAACTTGCTGAGAGGACGGAAATGTTCTAGATCTGTGCTGTCCAAGGTGGAAGCTGCTAGCCATGTGGTCAGTGAGCACTTCCAACATGGCTAATGTGGCTGAGGAAGTGAATTTTATTTTAGTGTAATTTTTAATGCCATACACATGTGTCCACACAACATTTGAATAAAAATGGGTAATCTTTTCTTTCCTCTTAAGACATCATGGCTTTCTTCCCATATCCCCGTATACTGATCTACTTTACTATTTTTAATGGTCTCTTCCATTTAGGGGATACCATACTTGATGTAACCAGTCCCCAGTGGATGGGTATTTTCGGAGTTTCCAGTTTTTTGTTCCTGCAAAGAATGAGCATATCCGCCAGTCTTGGGGACCCTGTGCCTCGAATGCCCACTGCCGCAATAGCCAAAAATAGCAAGGCAGAAAGGGAGTTG